TTTTTTTTTTTTAAAAATACAAGTTAGATGTCTTTTTTAAGACCCGCGTTTAACGTATTTTTAACTATTTTCGATATCTGTTTGAACTATTCGATATGCCCATAATATAGTTCTCGAAATAAATTTTGAGATGACATAAGCAATTCGTAGATTTGATTAGAGTACGATCGCCGGAGAATTTTTAAAATTAGCATGTTATTGAAATTCAAATTCATTGTGATTTTACCCCTGTCTGGTGACAATTAAAATCAAATTTTTAGTAGACTTTGATAAAAGTTAAACATTTATGGATTCCATGAAATATGTTATTTAAATTAATTGTTAACTTTGATTTAGATTAAAATTTAGATTTCAATCGATACCAAATACGATTTTATATAAAAAAAATCTCAAAAGTTGGGTGGGGGACACTTGCCCCCACCAGCTCCCCTAGGTCCGCCAATGCTTGCCCATAATATTTCCTCTAGTTGCAGTTGTGATCTTTCGTACTAACTTACATGGTTGCAAAGGTCTTATCGAAAAAATTTCTTCTCATTTAACATTTGGTATTCCCATTACACACTGATATATAAAGCACTTTGTGCAATTTCTATTTTTCAATATACTGCCAAACACGGTATAAGAAATGATCCGACTGCCTCCGCTTGTACTGTTTCGTCGTTCCCCGGATGACATATGCACCTATATAAGTAAGACGATTGCTGGAAGTTTGCTTCTACCCATTTTGCTAATTGTACTAGTAGGCTATAAAATGAAATCCCAGTAGAATTACTTAGATATTTTTCATGCCACATTCTTAGCGTTTTAAATAAAGAGGAAATAAATAATTTGATCTTCTTGTACGGTGGCGAATGTTCACGAAAATATGATGAATTAAAATCATATCAAGTGTACGGTTCATTACAAGTAATAAAGTGGACCTTTTGAGTCCAAATATCGTCCAACAAGGATTGATTAGTTAAATTCTAATTACCGCGACCTTAACCGAAACAATGAAAAATGAGAATGTTTATTTTGGTGAAATTATAATTAACTTACTGATAATATGCAAGTATGAACGAATTAACTAACTGAATGCGAATTGGCGATGAATGTAAATTTGGGTTTTCGAATGGGTGATGAATGTATTAGGATCGCGAATCCCTATGTAATATTCTTTTCAAAACCTAGTTCTATACCTTGACACACAATTGGAATATTGAAGAATCAATATTCCTAAATTATTTAATAATCTCTTTCAAGTAAAATTAAACCTATTCCAATATGTCATCCAACTATATTTCTATGACGATGCAAACATACGAGAATGCATGAAATTTTATGAACAATTCACGATTCACATAGGGCATAGCTGTATATTTCTATCCCCTATTGGACCCTATGATGATTTATATCACGTCGAACATATTTTCCTTATTTCGAATGCATGAAATAAGTTACCAAACTCACATAATTACGTATACAATAATTATGGAGAAAAAACAATTCATATAAACCATTCAAATATCTCAAAATGTGTTTTTTATTGTCAAGAATGTAAAACTAAGAATTGAAATTCATAGTACATAGTTCATCTATCCCTAGTACGGAATGAATCTAGCCTAGCATGATGGAAGGAAGAAAATTAGAAAAATAATGACGAAACAATATCATCCTGATTAATCTCGAATTGAATCTTCACTTTATGGTGTTGATCTTCGCGTTTTTTCCTCTTTTCTTCTCTCAAAAGTATTCTCCAATCTCCTCCCTTCTTTCTGGACGATCCTAGGGTTTAAATACACGACCCCAAATTTGTTTCCATAGGTGTTTCAATCAAATTAGGAAATTAGAATTTTTTACCGAAGTTTTATAATATCTGACCGCATACTACTCTTCCATGCAGTCGTATAGAAGAGTTGGCTGCCCTCATTATTTTTGCTGAATGGGTCTATGCGACCGCATAGACTTATAATCTTCCCTCAAATGGCAATTTGGTCCTTGAACTTCATTTTGCCTTTCTCGACCTTTTTTCCAACTTCTTTTTCCTCCAAAGTGTTATTCAAATGCTCAATTAGTTCTTGCCATTTTCGCATCTTCAATTTCTCCTCCGGATCATCTTTTGGTTATTTGCACACTAGTCCTTGAACTGTTGGTTTCTTTCGTTTTAGTCTTTTTTTTTTCATTTTTTCTCCTAATTTTCGCCATATTCATCATTGTTGTTCTGCAAAGCACAAATTACATCAAATTAAACTACATTTCACATTTTTATTTACAATTATCCATGTTTATGGCCTAAACTAAGTGTATAAAACGCACTTCTCAGAGAACAAATGAAAAATTATATCTGATGTGACAAGTGATCCACTAATGCCTTCGGTGTCAACTGTAGTATCAGAGGCAAGATTTAGTACATGTAACATGATTTTGTCGAATGATAGAAACATATTGAAAAAAGATATATTTGAAGTTCTAAAGTGTTTAAAAAACTAGCAAGATGCCGACCACCTGACAAGATTGCTAGTATAATTGACGAAACTTTTCAACAATTAGAAAATTCACGATTTTTTGGTACACTAACTCCTATATTTACTTATACTATGTTAATATTTGAGGTTTATTATTATTTTTTCATATACATACAAAATTGTATACGAGATACTCGTTCGTGTATAATTTTAACTCCGCTTACATATTGTAGTCAATTCCAAACTCCAATAAAGGAAGATGTGTGTGTGTTTTTTTTTATAGATTTATACTTATATTTATACATTTCTTTCAAATTTACCTCATTATTCTTCAAGTCGAGTGGCTCACGAGTCGACTTGGATCGCCCCACCAACGGGTAAGCTCGCAGGTAGAGCCGAGCCCAAATCCTTGAGGTGATCTAACTCACACTTTGAATTGCCCATTGGCCCTTACCCCAATTATCACTCCCATCTCTGTCAACAATATATATAAAATTGTGTTGGGTGCTAATAAACTTTAAAAACAGAAAAAAATAAAAAATAAAAAATGAATATTTATTTGGATTCCCCATTTGAGAAAATTGAGTTTGGTTTGTCCAAATCATTATATACTCTTGCACTGCACTTGCTAAAAATAGGTCTACACAATGTGCAGAATGGTTAACAAAAATGATCCATCTACAGCACTAGTCTTTTCCCATTTGGTTTGAAATTCTCTTGACAGGAGCCACAACAAAGTTTTCTCAACAGGCTCTATAATGAATCTGAGGAAAATTTTCCCGTGGAGGAGAAGAATAACAAGAACATGTTGCATCTAAACACCGAGAATATAGTAAATGTCAGATTTATTTTCACCACAAATCCCACTGTCAATTAGACCAGCCACTTGTTTGCACAAAGCACGTGAATGGGAGTAACCCTATGTATCCACTGTGCTGACTAGCTGCCTAACTCTGCGTGCACAATCTGCAAAATCCTTGACGAAACGAGCACATTTTAGGGGATCCTTCTTGTGTTCCTCGTAGCACTTCAAACAAGCATCTTTCTCTTCCAAACAGGGCATTGGCTTCTGTTGTGGAAGTCTGAACTCCTTATCGTGAAGTTCCTTGGCTCTTTGAGTTACTTCCAGCAGTACGTTTTCCTGCTGTTTGTTCAACCTTTCCACAACTTTCTCGCTCTCCTGAAGGACAGACCGGATAGCGTCTAACTCCGAGTTTGCAGATTGTGCAGGGGGAACCGGCAAGTATAAAGGAGGCTGAAGTGGCCATCCAGAATCACCAGGACCCTCTTGGTTGAAAAAATCAGAAATCTGCTTCGGATGTACTTTTTCTGACTGCCAGGGTTCCAGAGAGATCTTTGGTTTCGGCTTCTTTGTTTTCTTCTTCAACTTCTCCGGATCGTCTGCCAGCTGTCTAACTAAATTGCTGCTGATTTGGATTGTAAATGATTCACCCATGAGAAATGCAGCTTCCGGCCAGTTACATGAAATATTGATCAAGATAATTCCAAGGGATAAGCTAACATGTCAAATGTATTTTCTAGGGTCAACAGCGTCTACATCACCAATAGATACAATATAGGCACCCCCCTACTGAGGGATTCACCTCCTTCCTTGTGGGTTTGTGTGTATGTTCGAGGGGGGTGAGGGCTTGTGATATTGATTCAAAAATCAACCAAATGAAGTCATCTCAGTAATGCCTTATCGTGTAAGGAAAGCAAGAAAATCTCATAGGCTACGAATGATTATGATACCTTCATATTTCATACAAGAGTGATGATAAAGTTAGAAGAGGGAGGCCAGAGTGGAAATCCAGAACTAAAATGGCCTTATATGATTAACAAGGATATAGATGCTTCGGATCTTCCGGTAGGTGTTATATTAAACTGTACGGAGTGGAAAAAAAGACCCATACAGCCAGCCCCAAATTTATTGAGAACAACACTAAGTTCGTTGTATAAATATCCTTTGCATTATGCAAAAATACATACTAGGCCCCTATTTGAGCCACATTATTTTTCATTCTCATTCTTTTACTTATTTTCAACCACACATTATTCAATAAAATAATATTTTCTATTATATCAATAACTTTTCCTTCTTTTTCAACCACATATTCCTCATCACATAAAAATAAAAAAAACCTTTCTTGGGAAAAAAATGTGCACCAAACAGGGGCTAGAGAAAACATGATCCTCAACTAACTGTATACACCACAAAACATAGCAACTATGCAAATATTTGGTGAACTTCCCTACCAAGTCTACATACCACAACCTTCATGACTTTTACTTTAACTACAAGTACCATAAGCACCAAGTCATTTAGCAATTTATTTAAAATGAGGGTAACACTAATGACGCCTAAAGACGACGTGAAACGGGGAAACCACTGTAATTGCTCAAGTTCTTCTAGTGTTCAGCTCACCTAAACACAGTAGTTCCCTGGATGAGTTGTTTGGAATTCATTGAATAGGCAAAAAGCTCATTGAAATAAATATCGGCAATGGATATTTAGTCATTGCACAAATCTAACATGGCTTTCAACTACTATCTTAAATATTCTGAACTGTATTTCTTACATTCATCAAGTAACTTCCACAACAAATGATTCTTGCTAAAAGCCTAAAAGTAGCTATCTTCCAACCATAATGAGTTACCATTTTTAACTTAAGTAGAATTCAAGACAGTCATAGTCAAAACAGGGTAAGGAAATTCAACAAGAAACAGTATTTAATGTAATGTTCCTGGTGTATGAGTAGAACTCATGAAAACCCTACTAAGGCCTAACAGTCTTTGCATGACTTGAGTGACAGCTTAAATGCACAAACATTATAATACCACAACATGATTATATTCAATACGACTAACCTTGTCGACAACCCTAATAATTTCTATTGCACGGATACTTTAACTAGGTAGCGTGTTCGTGTCCGATACTTCTAGGACACTCTACTATAATCATTTTTCTTTTTAATTAGAAATATTATATATTTTCATCTAAAAGTTATTAGTAAATAACAAATAAGTACTTATATTTAAAATATTTCAACAAGATAAATTAATAACAAGTATAAAACCAAATTTATACTATATAAATAAAGAATTTTAAAGAATTTAATCGGCGTGTCGGCAACGTGTCCTGGCAATACTTTTTTGAAAAATCGCGTGCCGACGTATCCAGCACGTATCGTGCCGGACACGTGTCCGTGTCGGTACATCATAACTAATAGTACACTAAGAAGGAACAATTGTGTTCAACTCTTCTTGATAAATGTTCAAAATGTCAAATGCATGTACTATGTCGGATTTTCAACTTTTGATCAAATTTTGGCCTTGACAGATTTAGCTTTGGACAAAACAAAGCTTTCACAGGTCTAGGAGATGTATATTTCATATGTGTTGATCAGTAATTTCTTTTGGGCAAGAGGTAAAATAAAAAGGAAGAACATTTCATGGCTGGTGGCAGCGATGGTAGGAAGCAAGATTTAGTGAGTTGGCTGCAGCGACAGTGGAATTGGCTGGAAGAAGACAATGAAGAATTTGGCTGTGGTGGTCGGGAATGGCGCGGCACAGGAGCTATTGGGGGTGGCTTTGGCAGAAGATTGTGTGTTTCAATTTTTTTTTTTTAATAAATTTGCATTAATCACTTTTTGCTTGTCTAAGGGTAAGTATATTCAAAAAAAGAGATTCTTTGTCTAGAGATTGAATTCAATTATNCTAGAGCTTGAATTCAATAATCTGTCAAATCATATCAACTTCACAATCATTTCTGATGGATCCATACAGTAACAAGTATTAATCACAAAACAAGACCACTATACCACAACTAGAAGCAAAAATCTAAGAAAAATGAAACCACTAACCTACTATTGGCAATAATTTTGCTTCCTTTGACTTCAGAAGGCAAGAAAAGTCCAGATGAAAAAAAAAATGGAAAGAGATCTATCAACAATAATAACATCAAGGAAGAGCAGGATGAGTTACTTGTCATAATCCTAGTCTGTCACCAAAAAAGTTGCAATACAATTGCAAGCTAGAGATTAAATTTTAGTTGAGCAAATAGAGGGATTGAACACACTTGGATTGTATATAAAACAGCCAATATGCCCTTAAAATGTTCTAGGCTACGACAACCCAGCCTCAAAAGTCAAAGCTCTTAAAAAAGGCCCAAAATGGCAAACAAAGAAGCACACACTTTGATGCCGTGAGGCTTATGCTATGTGTGTGGTGGTGCATGCCTTGAAACAAAAAGATTCCTCCCCTATCCCCCTCTCTCTACAACTATACCATCTTTTATTCTTCACTTAATTTTCTTTCTCCATCAACCCAGTGAAGGGTTGACAAAGTCAAAGTAGCGTGATTCAGTAAATCTCTTCTATGTTCGGCCTTTATTCAAGAAAATTATGCACCAGAAATCAGATTACCTAACCCTGAAGCCTGAACCTAAAAAAAATGAGGCAATTGAGTTCAACGCCTCCTGGTCCACTTCTATCAGTTCTACTTGTTCAACATAAACAGGGAGAGGTACTAAGATTTCGCGTGTTTAATGATAATCCTTCACCGGGTTTCTTGTGAAAAGTTATATGGAAGGGAAATGATTCATTAAAAATCAAAATCAGCCCTGCACAAGTAGTTTCTATAGAAATAATAATAATTTCTTTTAGAAATGAAAAACCTTCTAATATTCTTATTTCAGACATCTAAAATGAGAGGCAGCTCACCTATTCTACAGTCTGATACTCAAGGCTTTGACGCTATTAAGTCTAATATTTCCTACGGCCAAAGCTGTTGACTGTTCCCTGTATGATTTGGGACTTGTGAGCTTTTAAAACAAGCACATCAAACTTCAAAGACTTGAGTATATATTCCCTTTTGTTGTCTTTCCACTTTAATTCATAATATTATATAGGGCTTTCAGCTCGTCACAGAGATCAAGGCAATTCAGAGAGTTTCTTGCCCTATTCGTGATTGGGGGAGTGGCCACCTGGGGTCTAGTGGGGGCAGTTGCCCCCATTGTATTTTGGTTATTTCCCCGATTACACTTGAGTGGCGACCAGTTCTAAAGTCAAAGGAAAACCATAAACAACCACATCAAAATTCAAGAAAGATATTGCCAAGAAAATCGCTGTTGCACGAGCAAGTTTACCATCAAGAGAACAATTTTAGAAAACAAAAATATAAATTCTAAAGAGCTAGATGATAATGACGATAAGCTGGACGGAATCTTAGATCGAAGTTGCTGAAACTAAATAATTCAGGGAAAAAAAAAAATTAATCATTCGGAAGTCAGAACAATCATATGGAGTACGAAATCAAGATTCCCGTTTTTACACAAATAAATCTGATACTACCTTCCAAGTTTGGAATGAAGAAGTAAATTGATCCTTGTCCCCTTCCGGAAGCTTTATCGATACAACTTATTATGAAATCACTGCAACACGCAAGATAAATTGGTGCCAAGGAAACCCTTAGCCGCTTGTTCCCTCCGGAATCTTCGTCAATACGACTGATTAAGAAATTCTTTTAATTGGGCATTTACACGGGAGTTTAATGTTTCGGTAACCATTCATTTTTGTTATATCTCGCCAGCGTGCTTCAAAACTTATTTCAACTTTACTCAGATCAACTCCATTGATCACCACGGTTAGTAAACTTGCCGAGGGTCAATTCGGGTGATCCGAGTCGGGTCGACTTGTCCCGATAAGGACTCACGTGAAAAAATGTCCATCCGTTACGGGTTTCGGATCGATTTCGGGTCGACCCACAAATTTTGAACTACAACCCGGCTCGCCCCCGACCCATCCGGGTCGAGCCCATGCGGGTTACGGGTAGCGGTTTATTTCGATATAGCACGTATTATTGTATAAATAAAATTATAAAAATATAGAATTTTTCATTTTTGTAGGAAAAAATATAATGTAAACAAAGAATTGAACAAAAATGATAAATTCATATTTATAGCAAAAAATATTTACATAGAATTCAAATTTAATGTTATATGAATTATTTATAACTTTGAAAAGTTAAATTTAAGTTAAACAAATAACAACTAAATACATTTATAATTAATATTATCAAATATTTATAGTATAACTACATTCCAACTAGATTGACATCTACTTAAGTTTTAACTATAATTTATTTGTTAAAAAATTATATATTTTAATATTCGTTTTCCAATCAATCTTCAGGAACTGCAAGATTTTTAAAGTTTTCGACAACATCATCAATAATTTTATCTTGCATATTTCGATTCGTTAATATCCAATTTTTCACGCATATAAGAGTTTCCAAAGTATATTCTTTAAGTCTAAATCTTCTTTCATCCAATACCTTGTTATCTACACTAAAAGTATACTCGGATGCCACTGTTAGACTGGAACTATCAGTATATCTCGTATCATTTTAGATAATACGGGGTATGTTCGCTTATTTAATTTGCACAATCGTAAAATA